GTAGCAAACATCATCCATCGCATCGACCTCGTCAGAGCTATCCCCCCCCTATCGCAATCATCTTAATCGTCCCCCCATTCTACGCCTTCTCATCCTCATCCCCCTCCTGCGCCCGATGCCCCCCGTGTCTACCCCGTCGCCCTCTCCACGCCGTTCCCCCTCATCCCCTTTCATCGGCCATTCTTACTTCATCATCGTCACTCTGCTCCAGTGCACCCTTTCCCACCCCCCCTCCCCCGCCCCCGCTGTCTCCCATTTCTCCGCGTCCTCGACTCGATATCAGTCCTCCCTCCTCCTCGCCCTCCTCCTCCTCCCTCCTCTACCGCAGGTCTGGATTCGCCCCTTCCCGCTCCCCAGGAGAACGGTCTGCTTCGGGGCCTCCGATGGGGGGCGTCGCACCCCGCGGCCCCACGAGTGAGGAAGCAGGGGCATGGCCAGAGCTCAAACGAAACAACATGTTCCAGCCCCCCCAGCGCGCGCGTGCCGAGCTGAGACTTGCCAGACCCATCACCCCTGCCCGCAGTTTGCCAGTGTGGACATAAACCGAGGGATGGGGGGAGGCACTATGGGTAGCACTATAAATTATTTCCACACATTGTAATCGGTTGTGTTGTTATGATTCATCCTGGCACCTAGGGCTCCAAGACAATAGAAACACTTGTGCAATGTGTCTGGCGTTGTTATTTGAGGCGTAGGCCACCAGGTCACCCGAAAGCGAAGCGAGAGGAACGCGGCGTGGCATTCAGTATACCAAGAATGCAAATGAAACGAATACTTTTTTTGGAGGCGGAAGGGGCCCATTACTACAATCAAAATCTATAGTAAAGATGGGCGCCGTTCCCAAGGGGCACCCTTGCATCCTTAGATGCAATCGGGCCTTGGGTGCCCTTGGGAACGACGCCCATCTTGACTATAGGTTTTGATTGTGCCGTGATTGAAGTCTCTGCGGGCATTGCCTCCGTCGGCGACGGCGGCATCGAGCTCCTCGAGGCGTTCGCGCCTCTGTCGCCTGCCTGGCATCTGCCGAACAGCTTGAGTCAGAATTGCTATGTACGGTCCCAATGTATACGTGTGCATGTGTCAATGTATATGTATGGCTATGCAGTAACAGCACGTGAATGCGCGGTTAGGAAGCCAGCCCCTCGGACGCCCATGCAGAGTTGTTTCAATTGCGTTAAAGTTGGTGGGGCGATGAAGGAAGGATGGGCCGACGAGGCAAGGATGTAAAGGAGCCGCTAGGGACTCTTAGGCAGCACCAAAGTTAACGTCGACTACTTTTTTTTCACGCACTGATCTATTGTCTGTTTTATCATCAGGTGGTATCCAGTGAAGACTTATGTATGGTTTGTGGGGGAGCGCTGAAAGACACCAAGCTTACATTATTCCTGTCGCAATTCAGGAGGACTTATGTATGGTTTGTGGGGAAGCGCTGAAACACACCAAACTTACATAACTCCTGTCACACGAAATTGTACTGCATGCTCATCGTGAAAGCAATTTCAATGCAATGCGTGTGCCTTTTTTGTTTGTTTGATTTAACCGTTGTTTGTTCGGTTTGATTAGTTTTTTCTTCCCAACCCCGCCCCTTCCCTCCTTCCCAACGCAAGCAAGTGGTAGGCCCAGGCAGTGCTGCTGATCAACATCCTCGCAATCTCTATCAGTAAGTTCCCCTTCAAGCTGAAAGGACACGTCAAGCGCGCATCCCAAGCGCGCTCCCCCTGCAACCGTTGTCGCACGATTGCATTCGCAGCACGGCCTGCTCACCGCGCACCTCATAGCGTAGAAATGCAGCTATGTCGGCTGTACAGGCAGGACGCTGAAGGTAGACGGCAAGCGCAAATGTGTCTTAGATTTGTCTTAGATTCGTCTTAGATTTGTTTTAGATTTGTCTTAGATTCGTCTTAGATTCATCTTAGATCCATCTTAGATTTTATCTCAGATTTATCGTAGATATATCTTAGATTTGATAAATCTCAGATATTTTATCTTAGATATTTCAAATCTAAGATAAATCTAAGAAGAATCTACAATAAATCTAAGATAAAACTAGTACAAATCTAATACAAATCTAATACAAATCTAAGACAAATCTAAGACAAATCTAATACAAATCTAAGACAAATCTACGATACATTTCAGACAACGCCCTCAATTTCAGACAACCTCCTCCTCCTCCTCCTCCTCCTCCTCCTCCTCCTCCTCCTCCTCACTCCCCCCCTCACTCCTCGTCCTCGCTTTCCTCATCATTCCTTCTTCTCACTCCTCCTCACTCTTCCTTCTCACTCCTTCTCTCTATCGCCCGCCTCCTGACTCCCCTCTCCCCAGTGGCCTCCCAGACTTGCGTCTTGCCGTCTGCCCACGTTTAAATGCGAGAGCTGATCGCACCCTACGCCGACGACTTCAAGGCCTTCTGCGCCCTCCGCTTGTCGGCCGCCAGGACGTCCTTCATCTGCTTGTGCACCTCGGACAGCTCCTCGTAGATCTTGCCCGCCGCGATGAGGGCGTCCTCAGCTGCGACCTTCGTCACCTCCTCAGGCTCCGTCATGAGGAGCTTCGTCGCCAGGTTGCTCGGCGCGACTGCCTTCTTCAGAAGATCCAAGCCCGTGTTCGCCAACTTCTTCACCAGCCCGCTCTGGCTGGACCGACAGAGGGCGGGCGACATCCGCTGCAGGTCCATTGACAGTGACGTGAGGCTGTCGTTGCAGTTCTGGAGCAACAGGTAGTCGGACTCGCTCGCCATGGTGTCCTGAGGGGCCTCCGCACTCGCATCCTCTGCGTTAGCTCATTCTCCTCACATTCAACCTCCTTGGGGAGGCCCCTTGGTTCCAATTTCGCGGGGCCAGGCGGATTCCTGAACCACCACCCGTCCCACGCACGTCTTGAGCCGACGCCAGATGAGGGTATCAATATGGAGGATGAGGGAGAACGCCGTAATATAACATTATGGCTCAAGACGTGCATGGGGCGGGGGGCGGTTCCAGAATCCGCCCAGCACCGCGAAATTGGAACCAAGGGGCCTCCCCAAGGAGGTTGAATTTGAGGAGAATGAGCTAACACAGAGGATGCGAGTGCGGAGAAGGAAGGGGAGGGGGAGTATACGCCATGGCAGTAAACTCTGAAACGCGTTTGGATGGCCACGTGTCCTTCAAGGCGGACCTCTGCTTCTTGGTCCGTGGAGGACCCTCGATGAACCAGTCAGGACGGGCGTCGAAATCTCCAATCTCAGCCAAGCCGCTCATGAACTTCTTCGAGTCCTTGACGTCCCACGACTCCTTGCCCTCCCTCCTGTTGCGCTTGGTGTCAGAGGCCTTCTTGGTTTGCGTGTCGTACACGAAACGCGTCTCGTCCTCGGGGTCCGTCCAGACGTCGCCAGCGTCGTGGGCGTCCTCGAAGGCGTGCTTGTTACCGTGGAAGATCTTCTGAACCATGATGCTCTTCTTGAAAGACTGCTTGGTCGTGCTGTCCTGAATATTATGCATTTTCGTTGTTTAATGCGCAATGCTCTGATGCTTAATGTTGTTGTGTTGATACATGTTTTTCGTTGCTTAAGTTTTAATTGTGGGAAGAGGAGGAACATATAATGATGAGCAAGTCCTCGTTCGAGTGCTCTCGGCTGGTCACCCTCTGCAGCGCCATTTTGTCGGGCTTGATGCGACCGCCGTAGCCCACGTCCCTCGGCACGTACGCGTTGATGATCTCGTTGGCCAAGCGCTCCTTCCCCTTGATGGTGCACTCTTTCGACTTGTACCAGTCGTACTTGTCCAAGTCCTCCTTGCAGATGCTCTCCCTGCACATCTTGAAGACGTGGCGCTGGGACAGCGACGTCTGCCTCGAATCAGCCTCCCCGTCAATGCGCTGGCCCTCGTCCTCGTCGGCGTCGAACTTCGCTTTGACTACTGCCCCCTGCTTTGGCAAGTCCCTCACCGCCAACTGCCACTCCTGCTTTGACGACGAATTCGCAGCTGCAGCAGGGCGACGCAGGGCGCTCGTGCCCTTCGTCCCCGCGGCCTTGCCCTTCGCCTTCTTCATCGCCTTCTTCGGCGCCATGAGGTCGATCCCTCGTAGTCGGCAAGCGCCTCGGCGCGAAAGCTCGGAAGATCGAGTCAAACCGACTTCGATTTGAGCCAAAACGGCTTCGATTCGAGCTTTTCGGATTCGAGCGCGATGAGGAATAAAGGTATGAGGACGAGGATAATCGAGCACTGCCTATGTTTCAAACGTGTTTCTTGTTAGGTAAGACGACGTCGGCGAGGGCGAAGTCCTCGTCGAGGAGAACGTCCAATCGTACATGCATGATGACAGCCAAAATAGCCCGATACAACATTGTTCAGAATCAAATCAGGAACTTCGAATTTATGTTTGTGCGATGACTGAACCACCTGCGTGCATTCTACGTGTGTACACACATATATATATATATTTATGCATATGTATGTATATATATATATATATATATATATATATCGCTATATATGTATAATTATGCCAGTCCCACTTTACAAATATACGCGTTCAAGCAGTTATGCACGCATGGTGTTGATTCGTATCGACGTTAGTCGCATATAGCGTGCGGGCATGTGCACATGCACATGCGCACTCATACATATGCACACAACTACTTGCATACATACTTGAATGTGCGCGCGTGTGTGCTTGTATGCAAAGTCCCTTCTCCCTCCCTCTCCCCTCCCCCGTCCTCTTGGCCCTCCTCGCCCCTCCTCCGTCGCCATTTTGGTTCAAGCCCTCGTGGTAACCCATTGCGAGGAGTCAGACGTGAACGAGGCGTGCCACTTGCCACGAGCCACGCTGATGAATATGACGGATGCCTGCCACGAGCCACGACCCTGCAGCGAGCTTGCGTTCCACGTGCCGCGAGCCACGAACCACGAGCCTGCGCACTACCTGCCACGAGCCACGGGCCTGCGCACGACCTGCTTGAAGGGTAGACGAAGATATCGCCTCCCATCGCTTTTCATGTCCACCCTTTTTCACGTGATGTCAGAGAACCCAACCGTGACAATGCATATAGCATGAAAGAGAGGTGCACAAAGAGCTGCATCAAAGACGGCAAGCCCCATGGCGCACCCAAATCTGAGCAAGGGCGCGAAAAGTGCACTGAACCAGGGCAGCACAGTCAAAAGAGTAGCAATCTCAGGTGCGGGCTTAATCGGGATCGGACGCCAGCAGGTCATCGCGCATCGCGAGCACCTGCTTTTTCGTGAACTTGCGCTTGATCATCTCATCACGCACCTTTGTCATGACAGAGAACTGGCGCTCCTTCGTAGTGCTGTAGATATGCATCTTTTTGTTGTCCTCGGTGATGCCGCAGAGCTCACAGCGGGGCGGGGTCTCAGAAGTCGGCCCAGACATCGCAGGCCTGACGAACACGATCTCCGTCTTCGTGTCGGACTTGTCTCCTCCCTTGCTCCTGGACTTCTTCGGCTCAGGCGTTGCTGCAATCGGCGGGCCATCCAACGCTGAACCTGCGGCCATGGACGGTTTCCCAATCTTCATGGTGGACTTCTCCTTCAGGCGCGTGCGAGTCTGATTGGGAGAGGCTGCCCGACCGAGGCATCAAAATCAGAAGTGCAAAAAAAAAAAAACTACTTCCACCGACCGTCCGATGTGTTATATACTTACATATACATATACACATACATATGTATATATACTGTATATACATGTGTGTATATGTATATACATATAGATGTGTGTGTGTGTGTTTCGGTTTTGTTTCTTGTTTTTTTCCCATCTGCCGATGCCTCGATTGCAGACCTCTTCCTCGCCTGCGGCTTCTTGTCCAAGAAAGTGTGGCCTCCGACGCCCCCCTGGTACACGCCCAGAGCGTCGTACTTGTCCCCGCCCTCGCCCTTGGAAGTGTCATTGACCTCTACATCCTTGCCCTCGTCCTCCTCCTCGTCACTTCCAGACCTATCATCGGAAATGTGTTGGCCCTGGGGGGCTGAGGCCTCTGAGACGCGGTCATCATCTGCTTCCTCACGCGGCCTCACGTGCTTTGGAGGCGACTTCTCGGCGAAGACCTTTTTGAAGTGTTTGAGCAGGGTCTCGCGGGGGTCCGCTGAGGAGCACTCGTGAGAGATCACGGAGGCCGAGCCAACGCCAGACATACCATCATCGGATTTCGCGGCCCCGCCTGTAGGAGTGTCAGAGGCGGCCGCATCGATTCGATTGAGCCTAACTTGCTTGAGCATGCCGTGAATCAGGATGTTGTCAGTGGGGGTCATGGTTTTGCGAAACCCACCTGTTTTGGGATACCGCCTCCTGCCACTTGGAGTCGTCTTCTCGCTGTCGTCCTCCATTTTCAGAAGCCTTAGCATGTTGAAACACAACCTGATGTGATCAGACACCTCCGTCACCCAGCGCGTCCTGCAATGTGTTTTAGGTATCTCTTCATGATCACTCATTGCCCTGAGCACGGACGCCTCGACCTTGGCCATGGGTAAAACGCAATTCGTGAAGCCGAGGTCTAAAAAAGATTGCAATAGTGGTGCCAACGTAGCCGTCATGATTGGAGTCACTGCGTGCTGAGCATTTGCCAATTGAGGTATCAAAGAACTCCAGCTTTTATCCTTCTTGAAGCCCTGCACAGTTTCACAAATGCTCTCCTGCCCAACATTCGGGTTGGCAACCTCTCGAGGCTTCCGATCCTTCACCATCCGATCGAGAGGCAGAATCGCTGCTGCAAGCCAAAATCGAGAGGCAGAATCGCTGCTGCAAGCCAAAATGGCTCCTCCCTCCCTCGTCCCTATCCCTCTCCCCCCCCTTCCCTCCCTTATCCTCTTCCTCGTCCTCCCACAGGGGCGCCATAAGTTCAAGGGGCCAGCGGAGGACGCGCCAGGACCCTTCAGGACGCGTCAGGACCGAAACGCCGAGGAAGGCCGCGTGGGCCCTCCTCCCCAAGGGCCCGAGGGCCCGAAACAAGCTCGCTATACGTCGTCACCGCGCACCTTTAGCTTAGATTCCAGAGCCGCAGGCCCAGGACATACACACATAATCCTGACATGTTTCTCAACAGCGTTTGATACTAGTTTAAGATGACACCGAGACGCATCTAATAACCATCTAAGACACATATAAGATACACCTGATACACATATGAGATAAACAAATACATCTGAAATGCACCTACTATAGCATACGGTAAAGATAAATCTAAGGTAAACATAAGATAAATCTAAGATAAATATAAGATAAATCTAAGATAAATCTTAGATACATCTGAGATAAATCTGAGATAAATCTAAGATAAATCTGAGATAAATCTAAGATAAATCTAAGATAAATCTAATATGAAATATACTCTCATATATATCTAAGAAAAATCTAAGATAAATCTAAGATAAATCTAAGACACGTCTGAGATACATCCAGGATAAATCTAACGTAAATCTATGGAACAACTAAAGTAAATATATGTGCATTTCCTGACATAAAATTCAAGACACGTTAAGGTAAGGTTCGTATTTAAGTTAAGGTGCGCAAAGGTAAGGTACACATTTAAGGTTGGAAATTAAGTTAAGGTTTCGGTGTTTAAATAAAGGTTCAATAATCTAAGTTAAAGGTGCGCTCCGGAATTTTAAGGGGCCCCGATCCATATGGTCGGGGACTCTCCCAGGCCACCCTCCCGGGCCCACCCTCCCGTGCCACCCTCCCGGGCCACTCTCCCGGGCCACCTTCCCGAGCCACCCTCCCGGACTCCACCCTCCCGGGCCACCCTCCCGGGCCCACCCTCCCGGGCCCCTCTCTCCCGGGCCACCCTCCCAGGCCCCACCCTCCCTCCACCCTCCCGGGTCCACCCTCCTGGGCCCACCCTCCCGGGCCACCCTCCCGGGCCACCCTCCCGGGCCACCCTCCCGGGCCACTCTCCCGGGCCACCTTCCCGAGCCACCCTCCCGGACTCCACCCTCCCGGGCCACCCTCCCGGGCCACCCTCCCGGGGCCCCTCTCTCCCGGGCCACCCTCCCAGGCCCCACCCTCCCTCCACCCTCCCGGGTCCACCCTCCTGGGCCCACCCTCCCGGGCCACCCTCCCGGGCCACCCTCCCGGGCCACCCTCCCGGGCCCACCCTCCTGAGCTCACCTTCCCGGGCCACCCTCGCGGAGACCTTCCCGGGCCCCACCCGAGCTCACCCTCCCGAGCCACCATCCGGGCACCCTCCCGGGCCATCCTCCCGGGCCCACCCTCCCGGGTCACCCTCCCGGCCCCCGCTCGGGGACCACCCACCAGGGCCATCCCTCCCAGGGCCCACCCCGTCCAGGACGGGTTTCCACCCTCCCCGGGCCACCCTCCCGGGCCACCCTCCCCCTCCCGGGCCACCCTCCCGGGCCACCCTCCCGGGCCACCCTCCCGGGCCCACCCTCCCGGGCCACCTCCCGGGCCCACCCTCCCGGGCCACCCTCCCGGGCCACCCTCCCGGGCCACCCTCCCGGGCCCCACCCTCGGGGACCCTCCCGGGCCACCCTCCCGGGCCACCCTCCCGGGCCACCCTCCCGGGCCACCCTCCCGGGCCACCCTCCCGGGCCACCCTCCCGGACCCTCCCGGGCCCACCCTCCCGGGCCCACCCTCCCGGGCCACCCTCCCCCAGGCTACTCACCTCACGGGCCACCCTCCGGCCCACCCTCCGGGCCACCTCCGGCCACCCTCACGGGCCACCCTCCGGGGGCCCACCCTCCCGGGCCACCCTCCCGGCGCCCACCCTGGGCCACCCTCACCCGGGCCCACCCTCTCCCGAGCACCCCCCGCCACCCTCCCGGGCACCCTCTCGGGCCCCCTCTCGGGCCACCCTCCCGGCCATCCATACCGGGCCACCCTCCCGGGCCCACCTTCCGGGCTCACCCTCCGGGCACCCTCCTGGGACCCTCCCGGGCCCCCACCCTCCGGGCGACCCTCCGGGCCCACCCTCCCGGGCCCACCCTCCCGGGCCACCCTCCCGGGCCACCCTCCCGGGCCACCCTCCCGGGCCATCCCTCCCGGGCCACCCTCCCGGGCCCACCCTCCCGGGCCACCCTCCCGCCGGGGACCCTCCCGGCCGTGGCCACGGGGCGGGGGCACCGGACGCCCCGAAAGCCCAAAACAGCCGAAAAGCCGGAGGCCGAACCTCGAACCTGGAACCTCGACGGCGGCGGCGACGACGGCGGCGGCGGCGTTTTGCGCGTTTCGGGGCCGCTCGTCGCCGAGGCTGGATCCGCCACGAAATCCTCGTCAGAACGCTGAGCTGGGGCCCCCCTCCGGGGCTCCCGAGGCCCGCAACGGCCAGCGACGACGACGACGACGACGACGACGACGACGACGACGACGACGACGACGACGCCCCGGCGGCGACGAGGGCCCCCGGTCCGGCCCCGGACCCCCCGGTCCGGACAGCTCGCTGTCCACCTCCTCCCCTTCCACCTCCTTTTCTTTAGCCTGGCGGCCTCTCGCGCAGCAAGCGGGCGTCGGGTCAGCCGGATCCAAATCGAATCGCGAACCGTATCGTCGCCCGCTCTGCACCGGATCGCAATCGAATCGCTCGGCAACCGAATCGAATCGCGAACCGGATCGTGGCAGGGGGCCTCCAGCATCGAATCGGCATTCGCGGCGATGCGATTCGCCGAGTCGAACCGACCCGGATCGAATCTCGTGCGGACCTCTGTTGCCGCCCAGGCGCAGCTCCTGCAGGCCGGGCAGGGAGGGCAGCGCCCCCGCCAGGGCCCGCGCGCCCTCGGCGCCGATCCGGCATTCTCCCATGTCCAGCTTCTGCAGGCGGGCGCACAGCCGCAGGCAGCTTACGAGCCCCGCGGCCTGCTCGGGGGTCGGGGGTGGCATCCCGGTGAAGTCCAGCGTCGTCACGCCGCCCAACTGCGCGCGGCTCATCCGGCGGAAGAGCGCCTTCACCGCCTTCTTGTCCGCGCCGTTGGTGAAGTGCATGTCTTCGATGAGCCGGTCGAACTCGTCCGGGCCCACCGGCCACCTCCTCCCGGCCGCCTCCGCCCGCGCCCCCTGCCCCAGGTCGGCCACGGCGGTCCACCTTGCCTCCCAGCGCCAGACCTGCTTGATCTGCTCCGCGGAGCAGCGCTCGTACGTCGTCCAGCCGGACTGGTCGTAGCCCTCCTTGCGCGCGCTGCCCCGCTCGCGGGGGTGCTGGGTGAGCAGGAGCACGGTGGTGGCCTGGTGGGCGTACCAGAGGTCCATTGTCTCCTCCAGCCCGTGCTTGAAGGCGGCTTTCTCGGCGGGGGTCCGCTTGGCCTTGTCCGCGGCCTCCTGCGCGTCCTTCTCGGTCTTGCCCTGCCGCAGGGCGGCGGCCTTCGCCTCCTCGGCCTTGATCGGGTCGCCCTGCGGCAGCGAGGGCCAGTCCCAGAATATTCCCATCTCGCTGAACCCCTTGAAGTCACCGTCTTCTCTGGAGTACTTGCGGCGCTCCTCCTCTAGAGTGTCTATCACCAAGTTCAGCTGCACTCCATCGGGGTCGGGATGCTCGCGCGAGTCCCAGCAGAACGAGATGGTGACGATTGGCGCCACCTGGTCT